AACCAAAGTGGGGCCTCTATCCTAAATGGGGAACTTCAGAGTCTCAGAACTGGGAAGGGGAAGAGGCCACAGCAGCTGAGCCGACACAAGTGGGGAAGGGTGGCCCACCCTCCGCCCCTGTGTATCCCTGGTGAGTCATCTCCCACCCGAAAGTGGTGTCTTCTTCTGTGCTCTGTCTGTTGGGGAGCTCAGCTCCTCCCAGCATGACACAGAGGTTTCCAGATGAGGCTGGAGCCTAGCTCCAAGGGGAGAGATGTGACTACAAGTCAGAGGGAAAAGTTCGGGTTTGCTCCCTCTGTCCCCCTTAGTGGTCCATCTTCCCCCTTAGGGGTGAGATGTCACTGCCCAGCTTCCTCAAGCCCTTACTTTTCCTTTTAACAACCCCAAAAGGGGTAGGACGTGGATCTCAATAAACCCTGGCTCAAAACTAGATTTTCCCTCTTTTTTTTTTTTTAAATGTTTTATTTATTTCTAGGAGAGAGAGAGAGAGACAGCATGAGCAGGGGAGGGTCAGAGAGAGAGGGAGTCACAGACTGAAACAGGCTCCAGGCTCTGAGCTGGCTGTCAGCACAGAGCCCGACGCAGGGCTCGAACCCACGAACCGTGAGATCATGACCCAAGTGAAAGTCGGACGCTTAACCGACTAAGCCACCCAGGCGCCCCTAGATTTTCCCTCTTAAAACAATACCCAGGGCCTTCTTTGCAAAGGTCTGGGAGGGAGCCAGAGGGTAGGATGGGAAGGCACAGCTCAGAGCAGTGCACCCCATGCCTGGCCCAGTTATTAGGGAAGCTCAGTGTCCAGTGCCGGACAGTAACTTCCTTGAGGGCCAGACAGTCTCATTCACCTCATAGGATGTTGGGGGGTGGGGAGGCTAGGTCGGGGTCCAGCTAAGACCACCGAGCAGAGAATACTGTTCAACAAATATTTGTAGAATAGAACTAAAGGGAGTTGAAGGAGAAAATGGGTTCAGGAAAGTAGTGGGACCACGTTAATACATTCATTCTACAAACGTTGACTGAACACTGTCCCTTGCTTGCCAGCCCTGTGTTGAGGATGCAGACAGATGTTTTCTGCAATAGAGTTTGGCTGCCTGCTGGGAGCCAAGCCACTGGCAAAGAGACTGGAGGTGGGAGTAGGACCTTGCGTTTTTTGGGCTTCTGTGCCCCTCTGACTCACTGCTGGGCAGGTTATATGAGATCCAAAGCCGTCTCAGCTTAGGCACCTCATATTCTTACTCTCAACTTTGTCTCACTGACAAGCCCCACTCTGAGGCCCAGCCACTAACTTCCTGCAAAGCTGCAACGCTCTTTATCATTTGTGTGTGTAACAGAAATGAAATTATCCCTTCCTTCCCTTGTGGCTAGTCCACTCCACAGTGGCTTGCATCTGAATGTTTTGCCACAGAAAATAGGCTATAAATACATACTGGATGGCCACATTGATAAATTACAAATACAGGTCTGCTGAGCAACAGAACTGGCCTGCTTCCACGCTGAATGTTCCCACCACTTTTGAGTCATTATGTTGGCTTTTTATAATTTGTTGGTCTCCTACCTTGCTATCAGCTACCAGCTATCTGTGAAACTTCAACAGTTCATATCAATCATCAATGTATATCATGTTCCACGTAGACCCCTACTAACTGATGCAGCTATAAATTAAAAGAGCGAATGTTAAAATTATGGGTAAAATCAGAGTTCATAGGCCCTAACTAAAAATTACGGGGCATCTCCTATGATTAAAGTATATGAGCTTTAATGTAAGCTCTTAGCTCCTCAGAAACCACTTGTGTTTCCCTCTTGCTTTGAACTACTGCCAGGAAGGGGCTGGATCTCACCTGTGTGCTGGATGGTTGAGGTTGCCAAATAACTGCAGTGCTAAGGTATTAGACATGATCCTTCTAGTTCATGGGTTTCCTTCCACTATTTAAGACTACTCATTTTTGAACTGCCAAGCTATGGGAGGTAATGCCATTGCCTTGAGCTGGGGTAATGGGAAAGATGGGGGAGGGGAAGGTTGGGCTCTGTCCCTCTACCGCTACAGCAGTGAGATCACTGTGACTTTTGTTTTACAGATTTGTCTGTAAACTGAGCTTCAAAATCAACCTCGTCTGATCTCCTTATTTCTCTAGGAGGTAGGAAGGACAGACTTTTTTCCTCCATTTTGCTGATGTAGCCTAAAGATCCAGTGATCTGCTGTGTTGATAGAGGGTGTTGAAGCACCTTGGGTGAAAGCCCAGACACTGGAGCTAGACTGTCAGGTTTAATCACCACTGTGTGACCTTGGCAAGCTACTTGAGCTCTCTGTGCCTCAACTTCCTCCTCTGAGTAATGGAAATAACATCAGCATCTACTTCATCAGTTTAAATGAATGAATATATCCACAGTCCTGAGAACAATGCTTGACAGTTCTTTAGTACAAGTAAGTGTTAGTTGTCCTCATGGGCTAAGCTGGGCATCAGGGAGAAGGATTAGAATTCAGAGCCCTGGGGGCAGTGATGCTGACCATAATCTCCTGGGGCATTTGCCCAGGCTCAGGGTGAGAGGCTCCCACTGACCACTTTCTTCCCCCTCTCTGCTCTGGCCTTGCCTACACTATACCCTTACTCCAGCCCAGGGAGCCAGCAGGAGAGGAGAGGAGGTACGTGGAGGCCATGGAGCCTGCGATGGCTCAGAGGTGGGGCGAGCACAAAGCGTGGTTGGATGTCCCTTAGAAAGCCACCACAGGTGGGCTCCTTGCTTGCTGCAGCAGCCGCCCCTGCCACACCCTACCCACTCCTATGCCATCCCCACAGCCCAGGTCCTGCCATGGGGGCTGCTCCTTGCCAGAACTCTGCCCTCGGGAAGGTGGGCCCAGAGGCCCTGGGCTGGGACAGATGTTTTAGAGGTAAAATGGTTAGGGTCTCCTGGTCTGCCCTGGGCTACAGAGCACCCTGGATTTCCAGACCCTACCTCTTTCCCCGCTTTGTGCTCTAAGTCAGATCAGAGGTGATGACTCACTGCCCCACCCCCTACAGCAGCCAATGCCCCTTCTCAAGGGCCCAGCTGCCAGCCTGGTGCTTGGGCTGGGCTGAGCTGGGTCTGCCCCCATTGTCTTCACTGGCCTGACCCCACCTCTTCTGTGTAGAGATGGGGAAACAGAGGCCCAGAGAGGAACAGATACCCTACCCAGCGGCCCTCTGCTCACTGTGTGATCAGGGCAGGTGAGAAGCAGGCCGCTCACATGCTGGCCACAGGCCCCAAGCGGAGCACAGCCTGGAAGGGAAGGAAGTCCTGGCTCAGTAACTCTCATCCTCCTGGCCACAGGCCCCACAGGAAAGGGCCCAGGGAGGGCCAGGCTGCTGGCTAAGGCTGAGCCGGCTGAGTGAAGGGCCAAGGAGTCCTCTGCGGGATTGGAGGGAGGCACCCTCAGGACAGCCTCATTCCCCAGCTCTAACTGGAGAGGTCTCAGCTTTTTCCCATGAGCCACTGGGAACAGCCAGAGCTTGAGAAGCAGAGGAAAGGTAGAGGCAGGGCTGCTAAAAAGCTGAGGGGATCTGGGGTCCAAAGTGGGCTTGCAGGCTGTGTGGCCCATGCCAAGGCATTTCACCTTCATGAGCCTATTGGATGCCATCATTTCATGGGGAAAGGACTCAGAGTATGCCTGCACTGAATTTAAGAAAGCTAGTAAGGAATTGCCTAGTCCTGCTGCCTCCTCAAAGGACCCCTAAAGTCTGCAAGGAAGAGGGGTTGTATGAGGAGAAAAGAACTGTCATTTGATTATATTAGATCACCTTTTTAAATCCTCCCATTCAGTTGGGATGCTTATTAATATTTATCTGGACTGTATAGCTGGGGAAAATGAGGCTCAGAGAAATAAGATAGCTTGCCCAGCCTCTAAGTAGCAGAGCCAATATCCCAATTAAAGTTTGTCTGGTCCCCAAACCTATGAACCCCTCCCTCCTTCACCTCACATGGCCTCCTCAAGCTCCTATCCATATATTAGATTCTCCTTTTTAAATTTTCTTAAAAGTTTATTTATTTTTGAGAGAGACAGACAGAGTGTGAGCGGGGGAGGGTCAAAGAGAGAGAGAGACACAGAATCCAAAGAAGGCTCCAGGCTCCAAGCTGTCAGCACAGAGCCCAATGCAGGGCTTGGACCCATGAACCCCGAGATCATGACCTGAGTCGAAGTCAGACACGTAACCACTGAGCCACCCAGGCGCCCCTAGATTCTCCTTTTTAAAAAAAAATTTAGGGGCTCCTGGGTAGCTCGGTCAGTTAAGCGTCTGACTTCAGCTCAGGTCATGGTCTCACAGTTTGAGTTTGAGCCCCGCCTTGGGCTCTGTGCTAACAGCTCCCAGCCTGGAGCCTGCTTTGGATTCTGAGCCTTTCTCTCCCCATCCCCTGCTCGTGCTCTGCCTTTCTCTCTCTCTCTCTCTCTCTCTCTCTCTCTCTCTCAAAAATAAATAAACATTAAAACATTTTTTTTAATTTGTTAAAAGTTTATTTATTTTGAGAGAGAAAGAGAGTATAAGTAGGGGAGGGGTGGGATAGAGAGAGAGAATCCCAAACAGGCTCTGCACTGTCAGCACAGAGCCCGAGGCAGGACTCAAACTCACCATCCCTAAGATCAGGACCTGAGCCGAAGTCAGACCCTTAACCAACTGAGCCACCCAAGCGCCCCTAGATTCTCCTAACAAGATCCTGCAGTGGGGAGAGCGTCTCTCAGAGAAGTCAGGCCGGGGTGTATAGAGGATATCCCTCCCCCACTTCACTGTGGTGAAGTTTGCAGAGAAATCAGCACCCCAGGCCAAGGACTCCCTTCATCTTCCAACTCGGAAGGGACAGAAGCCCAGGTCATCTCCACAATAATGAAGACCAAGAATCAACCGCTACTTTTATGAGCAAGCCTCCCTCCCGGAGCTGCACCCTCATCGGCTGCCACGGGGATATGTCAGCCAAGCTAGCCCCCCCAGAGCCCCTTCCACTTGTTCCATGCCCCAGCCGTCTCCACTCACCCAGAAGGCATCTCTGAACTGAAGCTGGGGCATCATCTTCAGGCGACTGCCACGGCAAAGCTTGCTCTCCTGCCACAGACAGGGCTGAACGAGGGCCAGGAGCCAGGCGCACCGTCCCAGTCCCGACAGGGCTGGCCCAGCCACCCCCCCTCCCGGGCCGGCGCCGTCTGCAGCGGCTCAGAAGGCAGCCGCAAGCCAGAGAGGAGCTGCGGGAGGGAGGAAAAGGGCTCAACCTGTTTTGTTTGGGGCTAGAATCAGCAGCAAAATGAGGAAGGAGCACTACCCTTCCAGTGATGGGAGGGCGGGCCCTGGTGTCCAGCAGGCCCCTCGCCAGCCCTGCGGTGATGGAGACGCAGTCCAGGCTGCAGGACTGAGAGCAGAGATGCCAGCCCCGGCCGGGAGGCAGTAGCCGGTGGGAGAGGCAGGCTGGTGCACAGGCCAGGCGGGAAGGCAGCCTGGGGCCTGCGCAGGAAGGTTTGTGCAACCTCCCCCCGGGGCCCTCACCCACAGGAAGTGGAGCTGCCATGCTCCCTGTTGCGGCCCCGCCTGCCACCTGCCACTCTGCTGCCCGCCTCCACCTGCCCCCTTCCAAAGCCCTCGCCGGGCCATTCTCGGGGCCCATAAACAGGGAGCCTGATGCCCACCGAAGGTGTGGGCAAGGATGGGGCAGGAACCCCGGGGCTGTGGCCCACCACCCCGGCCCCATGGCCAAGCCAGGCGCAGAGATGCTAGATCGCCAGTCCCCACCAGCAAACCATACTGGAGGGGCTACCCAGGCCCAGGATGTCACCTTCACTCACCAAACCCTGGCTGCCCAGTGCCCGGACCCACAGCCTGCGCTCAAGGAGCTCGCGGCCTCGGGGCAGATCGTGGAGTGCTGGGGGGTGGGTGTGGAAGGCAGAGATGGAGTGGCCAGGTGACTAGCAAGGGAGAACAGCCTGAGGCCTCATGGGCACTGCCCTCCAAGTCTCCAGATTACACATTCTCGGGGGCAGGACGCCCCCCTCAGGAGATGGAGTCTTCAGGCTGAGGAACGTGGTTGAACTGAAAGACAGGATTACGAAGGCATAGTGTGGGAGTCTGAAAACCCAGGTTGAGGCGCCCGTTTTTGTTTTGTCTGGCACTTACCCTTTAGTGGTTGAGGCACCTTACTGGACCCTCTAACCCTCTGAGCCTCAGTTTCCCTATCTGCCACCACCGCCCCATCCCCCAACTTTGGAAAGGAGACGGTGTTGAGGACGTTACTGGGATTTCCGGTTTGGTTGGGCAGGTGCTGGGGGCGCTGTCTGGTGCCACCTTGGAAAGAGCCCTGGGCTATAGCCCCAAACACAGCCTTGAGGAGCCAGGGCCTGACTGCTCAGCAGAAAATGCCGGCAGGGGCGCCTGAGCCCAGGGTGGGTAGGCAAGAAGGGATGAGTCAGCCTTGTCTACAAATCACCACCCTCGCCAATGCCTCCTTTACCACCGACTGAGGTGATAAGACAGATGAAAGCTGGTGTGGAAGACAGCTAAGCTCCCAAGTGCCAGTCTGTGGGCCCAGACTTAGAGATGGAGCACACCCATGCTTCTGAAATAGCCACCCAGGAGAGAATACCTCAGGGAGAATTGCAGAGCAGTGGGGCTGCCCCTGGGAGTCCCCTACCCCCAGAACCCTTAGGTCTGAGCCACTAAACATCTTCAGCATTGAAGGCACCAAGCCATGCTTTCTGTTGCTTGCAGCTGATGACAGCTAATGGTGTAAATATCACCTTGAACTTTGAATGCTGCGGCTGCATCTTATCCTATCGGGATCTGATAGCACCACCTCTGATAGCACTGACTCAGCCTTCCTGGCCTCAGTTTTTCAATCTACCAATTGGGGTGATGCCTCTAAGTTCTGGAGGCAGACTAGAAACCCTCTGGTAACAGAAGGTTACCGTTGGCAGAAAACTTCACAGCCAGGCTCCTTGCCCTGCATCTCCAGGGGTTCCTTCCATCACTCTCAACAAATTTCTGCTCCTAACAGGCCTTTCCTCTCTCCCCAGAGGTACCCTTCTTACAGCTACACTTTCTCCCTCTGGTCTCCTGCCCTCCTCCTGGCATGCCTTCCTTGACCTTCCTTAACTGGGCAAGTCCCCCCAAGGCCCACCTCAAGGACCCCACAAATGAGGACTTCCTATCCCCTCCGCTCTGGTCTAGCCAGGGCAGCCTTGGAAAGATTGCAGTGCTGGTCATGGGCCAGAGCAGTTGCGGAAGGAAGTAACAGGAGGCATCAAAAGAGGCCCTAAAGTTCTCCACTGCAAAGAGGTCTTCCTCCTCCCCTCACACCGCCCCACCTTTTGCGGCCTCCAGAGGCTGGGCCACCAGAGCAGCCAACTTGGCTTCGGAGCACCTGCCATGTACCGGGGGCACCAGTAAGCTTTTTACATGCACCATCTCACCTAGTCCTCACCCCATCCTGTGGGGGGCATGCTCTGTCTCATCGCCTCCACATCCCAGTGGAACAAACTAGGGATTCGAGTTTATGTGACTCACCCAAAGTCTCACAGCCAGTGAACAGAGTGCTGGGCTGCGGACTCAGGTCTGTCTGATGCCAAAGCCCATGCTCTTGACCTCCATGGTATCTTGTACCAATTGCCTTCTCTCTTTTTTTAATTTAATTTAATTTTTAAAATTTATTTTAATGTTTATTTCTGAGAGAGAGAGAGAGACAGACAGACAGAAACAGAGCATGAACAGGGAGGGGCAGAGAAAGAAGGAGACACAGAATCTGAAGCAGGCTACAGACTCTGAGCTGTCGGCACAGAGCCTGATGTGGGGCTCAAAGTCACAAACCAATGAGCCGAAGTTGGACACTTAACCGACTAAGCCACCCAGGTGCCCCAAGCCCTCTCTTAACAATGGGTTTCAGCCTTCCTTTCTCTACTTCTGCCTCCAGACCCTTTCACTGCAATCCAGAGCTGGAAATACTGAGCCTCAAGAGGCTACTGGGGCTGGTGGCGCTATTGGGTCAGAATCCAGCGCCAGTCTTCACTGTGTTATTTGCATCCATCAAGGATGTCCTGGCTGGAAGAAACATAAAACCAAAGGGTTTATTATGGAAGAAGTGTGTTATCTCCCACACGAGGGGTCTGGAGGCAGCGTGCCTCCAGGGGGGGTACGTTAGGGCCTCAGCTCAGTTTCTCTGTGGTTCTCCCCCATTTTCTACCTTCCCCCGTGGGTTGCAGCAGCTCTGGCCTACAAATGCCACATCCAGTTTTTGCATCTCATTTTCCTCAAAGTCCTCTGTATCCTCATCCTCCTGAGAGACCTCCCCTTATCATCTTGTGGCCAGAAGTGAGCCACAGCTCACACCTCACCTCTGGGGAGGGGATTCCTTGGGGTGTCATGGATGTTGGGGGCCAACCAGTGTTACCACCACAGCCTTCTCTCACCCCGGCCCGCAAACACTGCTGGGCACCAACCCTGCCAGGACTTGCCAGAACTGGGGCCCAGAGAGGAGGCAGACCTGGTCTCTGCCCGGAGGGGCCCATATACAGGTTCCAGAAGATCTCTCCTGATGAGAAGTGACTTGGGGTAGCGGTAGAGGTGGGTGAAACCAGAAGAGGCTTTTGTTATACCCCAGAGAGAGAGAGAGATAGAGAGAGAGGAGGCCTGGGCAGGGCAGCAGGGATGGGGGAGATGGACAGCGGGCCATCCAGGTGGAGAAGCAAAACAGAGACATCTGAGTGCCCCTCACAAAAGAGAACTTTGGGCCTCCTCAGTCCCCAGCCCCCTAGAGAAGTGAATCCAGTCCCAACAATCACAGCTTTTTAATGACAGTTCCAGCTGCTTCAAAAACTCATCTTGCCTTGAGGTCTGGATGGCTAGGCCTCAGGCTGGGCTATGGCTCCTCTTTTAAGGGGGAGTCCCCCTGCACAGGCAGAGCCCCATCCTGTTTTGCATGATATTTGAACACATCTGCTTGAAGAATTCAAGTTGTAGTAGACCTAAGGATTGAGAATAAAGCGCAAACTCCAGTTACAACATCGATCGCCATGGCCAGCCACTGGTCAAGGCTCAGCTCCCGAAGCCACTTCATTTATCCTTTCAAGCCAAGTAAACAACAAGATCAATATTACCAGCCACCATTAAGGGAATAGCAGTACCTATAGGCCTGCGTGTATTTTACATGCTGTATCTCATCGATCGCTTTCTACATCCTTTGCAGGGTCAATGCAAAATGAAAACGTAAGGCCTCTTACTAAAAAGACAAAGACAAAAATTGCCATTAAAAGTACTAAAGTATAAAGTTTCTCCCTTTGCAGTGTTCTCTCACTCTCACTGTTGTGGTGCTTTATTGGCTATTTAATGTGCTTCTGCGCAAACCCCATCAGCTGTTGGGCTTCCTTTCCGGCCAACCATGGGACTGTATTCCCTGGTTGGGGACAAGGATGTCAAGCCAGTCGTCTCCCTTTCCTCAGTAGATAGCAATCCCAAAATGTATTACAGGAGACCTTGACTTCACTTGGCCGGCGGACATTCATGAAGTTCACACAGGAGGAGGGGACCGTGGATGCAGGCAAAGGGAATGGCACGTGCCAAGGTGTGGAGGGAGGAAAGTCGCCGGCACATCCAGGGAGTAGGGCAGTGAGCCCTAGACTTAGAGTCAGAACAGCAGAGTTTGCAACTTGTTCTGGCCTCACCTTGCCAAGACATACTCTTCACTTGCATCAGGAATGGGAGACTCACCCCCGAGCCACCTGCTCAGGGTGCCGTGGTGCTGTCCACCTAGGGTGGTGATAGTCACCCACATGCCTCGTCCTGAGGTGCCACCAGCAACCTCTGGAGCCTCCCCACACCTGCACCTAGATCCCTGCGGGGGACAAAAGCGGCTGCTAGCCAGGAAGGGGGAGGAGGGAGCTGGGAACCTGTGCGGGGAAGGCAGCGGGAGTCAGGACCACATATGAGCCAAGCAAGGCTCCACAGCCTTCTGCGCCTCAGACTTCACTTACAAAACACAAATTCAAAGATAATATTGTTAAGAATTTCAAGACGGCGACTGCAGAGTGTTAAGTCCCAAGTGCAGGGTCTTTCTAAGCAACAGTGCCCTGCACAACACACTAGTCGCTCATCCCTGAAGCCAAATCTGTTCACTACTGTCTGTTCCCCACACAGCAGAATGCTATTTTCACACCCAAATTTGATCATGTACCTTCCCTTTGTCACCCTGCGATGATTTCCCATTCTTCCTAGGACAGAATGTCAGTGCTCTCACATAGCTTACAGGCCCTGTGTGATCTGGCCCCAGGCTACCTTTCAACCTCCTCTCATACGGGAAGAGTCTGCAGCAAGGGCTTGGAGCCTCCTGGAGAGGGGAAGGGCTATAAAGAAGGAGGGTCTCAAAGCTGCTTGGTGACATCTGGAAGCCAGGAGGCCTTTACCATAAATTTCACTTGGAAATGGCATTGCTTGTGGTCCAAGGGGCATTTATTTTGTTC